AACAGCAACATTACAGACTAACTAAAGTTGAAAAAGTGAAAAAGCATAATAGGACCCCTTTAAATAGGAGCAGTGTGCAGCCATTTTTGCTGTGGCATCCAGGGAGCAGTTGGGGGTTCAGTCAGTGTCATGCTCACCTCAGTCGTGGTATTGAAGGTGGAAGAGTGTGCTGGTCATTCACTCCACCCACCAACAATCCCTGCCAGTACCGAGACCATTAGGCCACGACTGCCCCTACAATTTGCCACAATTTACTACATACAAACAGATAGTACTGTTCCAAACTCTTGCCATTGATTTAGGTATCAGGACCCTTTAGGCTGTATCATGATGCTCAAACTAAGAGAGCACCTCAGTGTTTTGGGAATTCAACCTATGAATTGTTTTTAGTTGCCTGCATATTAAGCTGGGATAGATGAAAGCATATTATCATAAATCATATCACATTTAAGTATTTGATTAAAAAGGCAATCATACAATGAGTGAAGTGTGTCAGTGATAAGAGCAACACAGATATGTGAATGTGAGTCTGATAAGGAAGCAGCACCTTCTCACTGTCTACTGGAATGCCCTGTAAGCAACAGGAAAATCACTGAGCTTCCATAACACTGAGTCACGATGCCTCTGCAGCCACACCTCAAGTCAGAAGAAGTGGCCAAAAGAAAGAAAGTTTGGAGTATAAGACCGCTTTAAAAAGCCGGGAGTTCATTGGATGGTTTTTAAAGGATGTTATATTGTATTCCAAATTAATCCCTCACATAATTGCATGCTATACAAAACAATGCTGCATTTCTGCATTTGTTTCCTTCTCAGATAAGCTCTGTTTTAGTTCACATGATGACATGTCTTTCCTATTTCCAATTCTTAAAATGATTGAATTCCTAATTTGCTTGCTGTTGTTGAGAGAAATATTTCCCTCCTTCTCTTTCCTCCATTCTTCTGTTTCTTCTGTCAAACAGAAGAATCTTGTATCAGCATCATGCTGGTAAGATTGACTCAATTTAAAAGTCATATGTCTGTGTGGTTAAAGATGAAATTATGCCAACAGTGGTCACTAAGGTATGCCTTTAGTTATGTATAATTATTTTAACCTCCTTCTCCTTCTCATTTTTCTTTAGGGCAGTATTAGAGCCCCTCTTGTCTTTTACACCACCAGCTCACAGTGTGTTTATTGTGGTTGATTCACTGGACTCGGGGTATTGTGGAGGTAATGGAGTTGGAGAAAGCTCAATATCAGGATCTGCAACCACTCAGAGTTCTTCTATTGCAGAGCTCCTGCTCAAATACCTACAGCTCCTGCCCCCCTGGATCTTGCTGGTCTGCTCTGCACGCCGCCAGAACAAAGCCATTTGCAAGATGTTCTCAGGTACACTCTCAGATGATCCACAAATCACTTCATAAGCACAGAGAAATGTGAGATGGTTAGCTTTATTGGTTTCTTGAAGTGTTGTGCATTTTTCATCTTAGTTAAGACTGTGTACAGGGACTTTATGTTCTGTGTTTAGAAACCCATTTAGTAACAAATGAATAATGTTATCCACACTTGTATGGCCACCTGAACATTCAGTATTGCCAAACATACAGCTTATGACTCCTTTTGCCAATTTTCTTTGCTTTTTGTCCTTATATCAACATATTATGGCTTTGTAGGGTTTTGTTTTTTTACTAGATGAAATGACTTGGTCTTGTGAGATGAGGGTCCCTCGCAGTTATTAGCTCTTATGGATGACATCTTAAGTATAGTGTTAAAAGACTACAATCTATTATGCACTAGTTGTGTGTATATTTCTGCCTTTATAAACACATTTGAATGCAAGGTCCTTAACTTTGGCTTGGAAAGCCTCAAGGACCATCATGTTTTACCTCTGCCCATGAGATGAAAAGACTGGAAAGAAACAACTGCACAGTTTGCTAAAAACATTTTGAAATTATTCTGACAAATGTTTTTGTTGTTAATTTGTATAGTAACTTAGGTAGTAGTAGCAAAACATGTTTGGAATTACACAAATGTAAAAAAGTACAATGAACTAGAGTACTTTGTGTTCATAATGCACATTAAAAGTAACCAAATCAGTTGTGTGAAGCTTATACATATTGTAAACCACTCAGAGACACTGAAAACACTATAATGAGATTCCCACGCAGTTCTGTACAGACAATTAAATCACAGCTTTTTGTTGCATAAGGCAATTTCTTATTATTACACAATTATTAATTGTGTAGCCTTAAAAACCCATTGTGATGCTTTAACAATTGTTGTGTCTTATCTCATTTTGTTGTGTATACTACTCTGATTTTATCTATCCTCTCTACCCTGCAGGATTTAGGAGGTTGTGTCTGGATGACTTAAGGAAGCCTGCAACTGTACGAGATGTGCAGCAATATATCCTGCGGAGGCTTGACCAGGACGGGGCTTTGAGAAGACAACTTACACCAGAGACGGCTGAAATGCTTAATCTTTTGCACATCAAAAGTGGTGGCTGTTTCTTGTTTCTTGAGCGAGTACTAGATGGTATTGCACATGGTCGAGTAGGACTTCGAGAAATTCGGGACATTCCTGGCACACTGAATGGCCTCTATCTTTGGCTTTGTCAGCGACTCTTTCCTCGAAGGCTGTTTGTCCATATTAGGCCTTTGCTGAATATCCTTTTGGCATCCCCACAACCACTAACAGCTGAGCAGCTCTACAGTATTGCCAGAAGCCGTGACTTCTACCTTGGGATTGGAGACTTCCAAGCACAGATGGGGGCTCTGGCATCTCTGTTTGTAGATGGCCCTGAGGGCAGTAAACTCCTCTTTCATAGCAGCTTTGCAGAATGGTTAACTGATGTTAAATACTGCACACAGAAGTTTCTGTGTTATGTGAAGGATGGTCACCTTTCTTTGGCCATGTCCCTCTCTCTTCGAGCTAGTAGTTTGAGTACAGAGGAGACTTGCCAGCTGGCCTACCACCTCCTCAACAGTGGAGTCCATGAAGGTGAGCCAGCCCTCCTGGCACTGTGGTTGCTATGGACTGGAGTTCCAGCTCTTAATGGTGCCAGAAAAGACTGTTCTTCTAGTCATACACCTGTATTAGTTCAGCAAGATGTGCTACAACTCTTGATGAAAAGTGGAATTTACCCTGCGAGCTGTTCCCCAGACAAAAGCTCCAGTGTCGGGGTTCACTGTGTTGGAGGAGAAGGCAGGATAGTTCAGCGAGCATTACAGAGGGAAGACTCTGTGAGAGCACTTCTAGACAGTGGAATCCGTGTGAACCATACAGACCCATCAGATGGACGGACTTTATTAGCAGCTGCAGCCCATGCTGGACTTGTAGATGTAACAGCATTGCTGTTATGCCGTGGAGCAGACCCTTTACTTAACGACAACCAGGGACAGACTGCATTGACTCTTGCTGCCAGACAAGGCCATGTTGGTGTACTGCAGTTGTTGCTGGAGTGGGTGCAGGAGCAGGGGAGCAAGAGTCCCACAGCACAAGCCCTGCTGGAGCATGTGGACAGTGAGGGATGGACTGCTCTTCGCTTTGCTGCATGGGGTGGCCACAAGGAAGCTGTGCGTCTACTTCTGGAAGCAGGAGCAGAGATTCATGGCTGTGATTCAGATGGCCGGACAGCCTTGCGAGCAGCAGCATGGGGTGGACATGAGGAAATTCTGTTGACCCTCCTTGATCATGATGCTGAAGTAGACCGCTCAGACCATGAGGGACGTACTCCACTAATAGCTGCAGCCTACATGGGTCACAAAGAGGCAGTAGAGATCCTTTTGAATGCTGGAGCTGATTTGAATCTTGCAGATAGGGATGGACATACCGCTTTGTCTGTTGCTGCATTGTGTGTGCCATCAGCAGCTGGAGGACGAGGGCATGGAGAGGTTGTAAGCCTTCTGTTGGAGCGAGGTGCTGATCCAGAACATAAGGACCGAGATGGAATGACGCCTTTACTACTAGCCTCTTATGAAGGGCATGAGGAAGTAGTTGAACTCCTCCTGGAAGCTAGAGCTGATGTAGATGAAAGTTCTGGATCTCATCCATCTGCTATCACTCCTCTTCTTGTGGCTGCAGCTATGGGGCATGCTGGCACAGTTAACCATTTGCTGTTTTGGGGGGCAGCAGTGGATGGCATTGATGGAGAAGGCCGCACTGCTCTCTGCTTGGCTGCAGCAAAGGGTAGTGTTGAAGTTGTAAGAGCACTGCTGGACAGGGGTTTGGATGAGAATCACAAAGATGACCTGGGCTGGACTCCATTGCATGCTGCAGCTTGTGAAGGTCACAAAAGTGTGTGTGCAATATTGACCGAGCGAGGTAGCATGGCATGTGTGGGTGAGCTTGATGTAGAGGGTCGGAGCCCTCTAATTCTAGCAGCACAAGAAGGGCACTGCAGTACAGTCAGGCTACTTCTAGACCATAAGTCACCCATCGATCATCGTGCATATGATGGACACTCTGCACTCAGTGCGGCTGCTCTGCAGGGACATCGGGAGATTGTGGAGTTATTGATGCGTAGAGGGGCTGACACTGATGTCCGTGATGCTGAAGGAAGACCCCTTCTTTATTTGCTGGTCCTGGAGGGCCATTTAGACATGGCCACCCTACTCATAGAAAAAGGTGGTGTCCCTTTGGAGTCAAAAGATGCAGAAGAGCGAACTGCACTCCATGTAGCAGCTTGGCAAGGAGACCTGGAAGGTATTGAACTGTTGCTGATATATGGAGCTGACCCAAATGCCAGAGATCTTGATGGTCGGGCTCCTTTGCACTCTGTGGCATGGAGAGGTCATGCAGCTGCTGGCAGGCTGCTCCTTAGGGCTAAAGGTCTTAATGTAGACCTGGCTTGCAAACAGCAGGGTGCCACAGCACTTAGTATTGCTGCTCAGGAGGGGCATGTTGAAATTGTGGCCATGCTTTTAGAGAAAGGTGCAGAACCAGACCATGTGGACCGTTACGGTCGCAGCCCAGTTAAGGTAGCAGGAAAACAAGGTCATTTCACAATTGTGCGACTTCTGGAGAGTTATGGCGCAAAGTGCTTCTCAGGTCTCATACCATTTACACCTAGTGGTGCTCCCAACAATTCTTACCTTTCAGCCATAGTCAAGACCCAAGCAGCTATTAGTTCAGGAGAAGTGGGTGTTGATGGAGTCCCAGCCACATCTTCTCCATCTTCGACCTCAGTTTCTGCCTCCTGTTCCCCAGCTTCCACTGCAGAGCATTTCCACTCCATGCCTGCCTCACAGACATCCTCCTCCACCTGCCAATCCCTGGCCACAGTTCAGACCGTGCCTGCGGACAGCCTAAATTTCATCCAGCAGATACAACAACATTCGCTTCCTCGTTGCCGCAGTCGGCCATCCACCTTGCCTCTACCTGGCTCCAATCCTACCAGTCTTCAGGGCAGAGCTTCTAGGCACAATCAAAAGTCTGTTCCCAAGAGCAGTCCCACAAACGAACAGTGTACGTTCACTGAACTGCTGGACTCAGACAAACCCTTAAAGGGGCTTGGATCATCGGGGGATAGCAACTACCTCTTAAAACCTAAAACTCCTTACATCATAGAGGATGTGATGGAGAAGAACCTCAAACAAGCTGGAGGAGTAGATATAAAGTGGAACTCCGTTATGGCTTCCTTAGGGGTAATGCCAAATCAAGAGGGCCCAATTCGACAAACAAAAATTAGGGAAAGCCCCCCTTCGGGGTACCCTCATTTTCACTTCCAATCCCATGCACAAAAAGATGATTGGGGTGGAATTCAAAAGACATCCATGTCTCCAACCATTGACCTTTTATCTGTTTCCCCACATAGTGCCTTACATGATGAGTCTGTGTTTAACATGACAACTACTGACCCCCAGTTGAATCTCAAACAGGCAATTAAGCTGCAGTTTGAAGGGCCTACCAGTGCAGTACTTTACCAGCGGGAAACCCCTCTCTGAGGTGAGGCATTAATTTTCTCAAAAATAGAACATTACATTTGTCTTGTAATTTGTTGATTGTCTTGTAAATGTAAAATTTATAAATTGATTTAAGACAGGTTTATTTATTTGAATGTTCATAATACATGTCTTATCAGGCAGTTGTTAGATATGCCAGATGGAAGTGAACCGCACTGTGCTTTCAGCTGCAGTCTTTATGATTGTGACTTGGAATGTATGGAATTCTAATGACAGCTTTGTCTGTTGTAGGCAAACCTGGACATTTAGGAGTTCAAGGAGGTGAGGGTTGTGTGGGTAATCACTGCACTGTGTGTGGAAGGTGTTGAGAGTAGAGGAGGATGGCAAATGAGAGCGTCATAACACAGACCTCCACCTCTCTAACCCAATGACCCCAAAGCACAAAAGAGGGAAAGACATAGAGAGTCTAGAGGAACCTGAGTTCAAAGGCTCAAGCTGTGTACATTCCAGAGTTTTCCTCCTCATCCCGTCACAATGGAGAGCAGCTGGCACTCTCTCATTCTCTGTCATACAATCACAGGAAAATATTTTTACATTAAGAGGGACACTTATGGATATTTGCTCTGCTGGTGTTGTGCATTTGCAAAAGTCAACATATACATACCCCAGGGATTTTTGTGCACATATCTCAGCATGAATGGCACAACTTTTCATAGACAAAAGAGCTATTCACTCTTATAAGAGCTAATAAGAATTCTGTTGAAACTGGAGTGCATCTATCTACATTAAAAATAGTCTTTTTGGGTGATCTGCTGTACATTGCTCAGACTCTTTGATTTACACCCAGACTTGGGCTTGCTGGAAGGAAAAAAGGGCTTTTTCAAAGCAACACTGTCGCTTACTGCCTTTATTTGCCAGATATGTGTTAATGACTTGTGGAAGTAAGTCATCAGCAATGTTTGTCTTTTAAAGATGTGCTTCATTTGACATACTATTTGTTTCAGGATATAGACTTGTCCATAGTTGCTACTCCTTATACCTTGAGTTTTTTTAAATTATACATTCTGTGATTGTCAACCGGTGAACCAGTTGACCTATCAACAGGGGAAATTAATATTTTAAAGCTTCATTCCAATTGAATTACAGAAAGAGATGGGAAAAATAAAGTGAGAAGTTACTGTTCTACAAGTAGATAGAGGGAGTTAGAGAGGAAGACATGATCTCCTATACATGCTCATCGGTCATTAAAACCTTAAAAGAGGTGCGAAAGGTGACAGTGATGTGATTTTTATACTTTACCATAGTTAATTTATAATGTTTATATTGTTTTGTATGTTAAAATTTATTAAGGTGCACTAATTAAAACTGTATATTATCTTGTGTGTCTGTGTAAAAATTTGTGTTGAAACAAGAAAGAAGCAAACTTGGCATCCCTTTTGGTTTGCATGCGTCATATCATTTAGCACCTCTGTCCCTCACATATAGTACTCGTATAAACACAGTCAGGAAGAGCTAGTTTGTATATGATTTACTTGACCCTCTATGGAATTGCCATTTGTGCATTAAAACATTTCCAGCATTTGTTAGGCTATCATGGTATATTACAATGTCACAGAAATCAAGAATAACAAGATATAGTTCACCCCAGAATATTTAGTCACCATTATGTATTTAAAAAAAAAAAAAAAGGTTGGTTTTCTTTTTCTTTTTAGACATTTTTGGGCTAACCCATTTAAGTTAAATCTTTGGGCCCAAGAATTCCAATGTTTTCTATCCTTTTGAGTTAGAGTGTAGCATGTATTTCTTCCATGCTCTAAATGTACAAAGGTTGCACACTCTTCATTGAACTTTTTCTTATTTGTACATCTTTAGTAATGGTTAACACTACTACACAACTTGCACTTGTTCTTTTATAGGTGGAATTTTTTTTTCTCTCTTGTAGACACTGCAGGATGTGTTTTTGTTTGAAAATCTTAAGAGCCATCTAACTTTCTTTTCTGAATATCATTCTTTACCAGAAGACTTTTTCATTGCAACCATGGGACCTCTCAGACCAAATGGTAGTTTAAAACCATTTTCTATTATTCCTGTTGTCGTAATAATGCAGACCGGAATTTAAGACTGAATCTAGCTTTACAAAAAAATCCAAAGTGACTCAGGATGTATTAAAAATATACATTTAATTAATTCATTCATTCCCTGTGAATTAAATCCATGACTGGCATTTTTAGCTACAGGAATGTAATAATTGTTACCTATTAAAATGCTTATGGTTAAATATTCAATGTAAGAGGCTTCCTAAAACAATTTTAGAGTGGAACAGGTGGAACGGGTTTCTCTTTCTGGGAAGTTCATCTGCCTGTGTTTTCTCACAATTCCACATCGCACACTATTGTGACCTGACAACTAAACAGATTATCTGCTATAAAAGTGTTTCAAACCACTGTTAAAGGTCATTCATTGCACATGAGGCAAAAAGATGTATCGACTTGTGATGAAAACCTTATTTGAATTAATTCCGGCTTCAATCATACACAGTCAAAGACAAGGCTCCACTTCCTGACCAACAAGGAGACACCACATCCTCTGACAGTGTAAACAAGGGAGAGGAAAACCTTTCTGTTGAATAACAAACCATTTTTAGGGCAGAGGAATGATATCACAAAGCTTGCAACATATTTCTATCAAGTTTTGTACTGTGTGAAATGAGGTTATTTAAGCCATCCTGTTTTTTTTTTTGTTTTTTGTTTTTTTTTGTGAACAAGCCAAGAGAATGCGTTTAGCCTAGCTTCAAACTGAAAAGGGGTAGCAGACTGGGTGTGTTTGTTACATTCCCTGCTGAGCTTTGAGAGACACACTCATGCAACGAGTCATTACAGAACTCTGAGGATTCTAGGAAAACAATTCCTGAATTATTCAAGAGATTCCAGTGGTTCTAAGATTTCACCGTCATACCAAGAATATTTCACATTCAGTAGTTATATTCCTGTTGCTATTCAAGGGCCAAGTATACTAATGGTGAACAGAAGTGATCAAATAGAGAAGCTTTTTTAATGTTATATTTTAAGAACACACAAAGACATTTACACATATATAAATTTATATATTTTAGAAAGCATAAAATGTTATATATATATATATATATATATATATATATATATATATACAGTACATTAA